CAGATGTGTTCTCATCCCGACTGGAAGACAAACCCTCACTTCCCTTCTTGCTCCAAAAATTTTCCAGGACAGTTCTTTTGCCCAAAGTTCATTCCTGCCAGATTTGTCCTTCTCTGACTCCAGCCAGCTGTAAAAGGACTCCAGTGGCATTTGGCAGACTTTTTTTGTGTGAAATCAGTCGCGCCCCGTGTCCGATGGATGTAGTTCACTGAACCAAAGAGAGTTTTGTCCTTTTATAGTTGATAGTGTCCCACTTGAGCACAGAGAGAAAGAGCAGAACCTCTGCTGCTCCCTTTGCTCCCTTGTTTTAGTTGTGTGTTTTCTCTTAACTTTCTCAGCCGTCCTCTAAGCCCACCTCAGCAACTGGTATCATCCAATTACTCTGGTATTTGGCTTACATAGTTGGATTGTTATCAACTGTGCCCTTGTGCATAGTTGTCTGAGTAAATTCAATCAGCTAATGAAATTGTGGTCTTTCCATCAATTGATTATCAAATTGCTTGTATAGTTGCACCAGCCCATCTCTCTTCCAAAGCTGCATATTTTTGTTTACCCAGGCAGTGCCTGACCCCTTCTTTGCCTTTCCTGAACTTCCCTTTTTTTGCTTTTAAGGCATTTAGTATATCTGGAAATATTATTTACTATATATCTGATTTAATTGGGAAGGTGACCTTTGTATCTCTTCATAGTCAAGCAATATTCATTTAAATTCATAGCGTAATTACTTGGTTTTGTTTTATTTATTCATTTTCTTGTACTAAAATATTTTTCTGTATTCAAGTACAAATGTTTTATAATAACTGCTGTATTACACTTGGAGGTGAGAGGTTTTTGCTCATCTTCCATGCTGCAGCACCTGCTTTCCTACAGTGGCACAGTGAGGCAGTGAACTGTGCTATCATGCCAAAACTGGAATAATGCAGCTTGTGCATGTCCAGGAGTGTGGCATTTTCATGCTGCTCTTCGTGGAGCTCTGCAGTGAGAACTCCCCCTTCCCTCCAACATCATCACAAAAGTGGCATATTCAGACTTACAATTCTGGCTGTTTCCGTTCTCTACAGGTTCATCATCGAGGAGGATGTGCATCAAAAATAAAATCCCTCCTCTGCAGAGAAATTATGTCTATTTAGGAAAGGTCTTTATAGGATAAAGGCTTTTATTTCAGTGGAGAAAATCTGTTGGCGTTGCAGAGGTCTGTTCACTTTGGCAGCAGCCCCTTGAAATCGATAGATCCTGTTTCCTTTACGTACAGAATACTGAATAAATCTCTTAACAACGAAAATTTACCTGTGTGGACTTTCCCCTAATGGCATCCACACTTAATTTGCTTGATAAAACCTTTATGGTAGGTAAATTCAGTAACCACTCTCCTTTTTTTTAAAGAGGTTTCCAGCCTGCAAATAATTCCAGAGACAGGATCTACTTATGGGAATACATCAGCAATGTTCGATCCAGCCATGATTTATCTTCCTTGTGTTGACTTTGTTCGAGCAGGAGGGAATCTGCAACCGAGGTTTCTAACTGCTAATTCTGTGATACTGGTGGATCCCCAGCCCCTCCCAGTAGATTTTTGATTTTTGAAGGGTCTAAACCCCAGTGGAAATCCAAACCCCAGAGCTCATAAGAAATATAACAAAGCACAAGCAGCAAAGCAAGCAGTTTCAGGAAAGCCCAGGCACTCCAGTTGGTTTCCCATTCAGTCACTGAGCTCTCCCTTTTGGCTCCCCTTGTCCATAAGGTATGGGTACAGAAGGGATGTAAAGTTTTCCCTTAATTAATTTCCTCTGCTAATGGTGTAAAGGAAAAAAATCTCACTGTTGGCAGTGAATGAATTTTGATAAAATGTTCTAAAAGGCTTCAGCCAGAGACCTGACTATTAAAGAGTTCAAATAAGTGAAGTTTGGTGAAATTGCTAGCAATTGAAACTGTCTTCCTGTTATTAGAGGTATTGAGCATCCTTACAATTTAGAGTAGTGCTATCAGTACTGCAGATAATACTGTGAACTATTTTTCTAGCACTTAAGGAAAGTAGCCTTCGGACAAATATTTTGATTTTGTAACTATGCTCTGAGATTTGTGGGTTTGATGTTCCCATTTCCTGCAAGCCTACAATGCAGGAATGAGAGGGTTCGTGCAATAACCATCTGGGGAACAGCAGGGTAATGCTGGCACTCTTCCTTGGGGTTTTCTTTTCTTGCATAAAAATATAAGAATGAATCACATCCCCCAAACCCACCAAAGCCCGAGCAATGAAGACTAGCATAATTAGTCCTGCATTGTGGAGGATTTTTCAGCATCTGCAGGAATTGAGATGGGCAGTTGAATTCTTTCCTTCTGCAGCCTTTGCTCAGCTTCCTCCTCCAACATCTGTGTAACAGGCTGGGTGACTGGGGGACTCCTGGACAGTACAGAGTCCCTTCTCACAGCAACCTGTAGTTCCTCAGGGTGTTCCTGTACCAGTATTGTTGTGATTTTTTTCCTTTTTTTTTTTTTTTTCCCCCTATAAGTTGCTGTGATGCGACATTCCAAAATACTCCACAAGCAAGAGCTGGCACATTTGAATATGCATATATAGGAGGTGTGTTTGGATATGGATACGTAGGAAGGAATAGGAAGATAAAGAGTTTTAGCCCATGGCAGGCATCCCACACTCTCCCTCCCAGGTGGGAATGGCACTCGTGGCTGTGCCTGTACGTGTCAAGACCTGACTGCTGCACTGACAGAACACACAAGCCCTAATGGGAAGATCTTTTACACGACCAGCCCTGCCTCATAAGCCTTTCTCTGTTGGAAATTTTAAATGAGAACAGAAGAAAACACCACCTCGCTCTGCTGACCTACTAATAGGATTTATTGCAAGAAGCAGACATTTCACATTAGTAACTTGGTGGCCCCCACTGATGGTGGCAAAGAAGGTGCATGAATGCTCCTACCCCTCTCTCTCAGCACTGATAACTTTCACTGGACATGCATGATTGTTATAGACCATAAACATCATCTTTTTAATGCCCTTTATGAATTCCTTTAAGAGCCCCGTGTGGTTCTTTCCCAGTACGATGTGGTGTATATTGAGGTTGAACCATTCACTTTTTTTTGCCATTGTCTTTCTTTTTGTCACCCCTCTGCCTCAAATTTTAGTTCTTTTGATATTTGCAGAAATGTGTTACTGCTTCACAAAAGTCTCTGCTTACTCTCAATTTCCAACCATAAAAAAAACGCAGACATAGAATTTAACTTGCACCTTCTCTGAGAATGCTGCAACTAAAGATGAGCAAATGTTCTTTCAAGAGCTCTGGAAGGAATCCTTTGTGTCCCATCATGTCCTTTAATATATTTTAGAGCTGTATTTCATACTTTCAGCTTTCAGCACAGTTATGCTTTTCTACTAATATTTATATGTAACAAAACCCACAAAATACTCCTCTTAAATCATACTTCTCTCCTTCCCATGCAGTAGGAATTGGCTGGTTTCAAATTAGAAGCATTTTAGAAGCTTCCCATATGGAGTGTGTGCACTGATGAGCTGGAAGTGTTACTGGGCAACAACTGTGCTTTCTCCACGCTGCTGCCTTGCTTCCAGTCACAGGAGTGCTCAGGGTGTTCTGCTACTGCCTTCTCTAAACCACTGTAGTATTCTTCTCCTCCCCACGCTGTATCTCCATGAAACAGTATGGCATGCCATGAATTATATATTTACAGTGAGGCAGATGGGTCTGTCAGTTCAGTCAAGAGATATGATGGTGTGCTTTTCATCCTCTAAGTGGTTAACAATTGCAAAAGATTCTCTTTATTGCCTAGTGCTTTATTCACTTTATTCTTTTTTTTTTTTTTTTTTTTTTTTTTTTTTTTTTTTTTTTTTTTTTTTTTTTAGTGCATTGGAAAATAAATCTTGAACGTTTTTTCTGTTATGTAGCACTTTAAGCCTTTTCATGGCGTTTGTAACGTCTCTTTGCCAACTCTCCATCTGTGATTTTAGCTTGCAGGAAACAACTTTGCAAATCTGTTATTAGCTTAGATGCAGAGAGCTGCTGTTTAAATATTAATTGTAACTTCCCCCATAAATGCAATCAAACCCACTGTGTAACCTGTGAAGTTCAATAAATATCTAGAGGGGGAGAGTGTGTTAGGGGAAGGGCCTGCTCTTGGTCGTAACAAAAGTCTCACTCAAGTTACCAGAACGAAACAAAAAAGTGTCCTGACGTCATTTCCTTTCTTCTTCTTGCCTCAGTCCTGCTACTTTAACACACACAACAAAAAGAAATCAAAAAGAGTAACATTCACCTGCATACTTGCACACTGGGTGGACTTTCTGCTAAACCAGCTGTGAGCACGAGGAACAACATCACACAGTGCTCACAAGAAAAGATGAGAGCCATCAGTTGTTTCAAATCCTAGTTATTGAGCAAACACACTTCTAAAGTGTTTGGGTACTGCTCTGTCGAGAATCACACCTCAGTAGAGGTGTTGGGGTTGAGCCCTTCTCTGTTTTCAGTCATGACCCTCACCATTATTTGATTTCTTGCTTCCACAAAAAGTACCTTACACTTAAAAATAAAAACTGAAAAAGCAAAATATTGTGTGTTAGCAGACATTTCAGTGAAGTGTGTTGGATAGAAGTGAGGAACAAAGTAGCTGGCACCATCCAACCAGCCTGTTTCCTGTGGGTTACCAGGGCACTGTAATTGTAATATGCACATTTGTATAATTGGAAGAAGATCAGCCCCATTGAAATCATATGGTGTATTTTTTTTTCCCTCTCCTCTTCTTCCAGATGGTTACTAATCTTTTACTGGTGAGGTGGTTTGCCTATGGTGTAATCTGAGATTTTTCCTCTTGTCCTTTGAGTTATTCCTCTTTGTGTTTGCAGGTGGACTGAATGTTGAATTCTGGTAATTGCTTAGAATGTAGTTGTTTTTCTCATTATCCTGCAAATACTCAAATACTTTTTTTTTTTTTTTTTTTACCTGATGTATTACCCACATATTCCTTTTATCTTGCAGCATTCTGTGAAGAAGGGTGCAGATATGGTGGAACTTGTGTAGCCCCTAACAAATGTGTCTGCCCTTCTGGATTCACGGGAAGTCACTGTGAGAAAGGTAAAGTTTTACTGAAAAACACCTTCTTTGGTAATGAGAAATATGACATACTGAAGAAGTAATTGCTTTCCATTCATCCATTCTGCTTGATATTCTCTCTCCATTGAAGATGTGACTGTTCCATTTCTGCCTTTTCCAAATTGAAAGTTAGTCTTGTTTAAAACTTTCCATGTTTAATTTTATCGGGGATGTATCTGCTTTTGCTTCCAGTGACACTTCTAGTTAATTAGAGGGGATATCAAATGAAAAATATTTACTCCATCTGTTTCCTGTGGTGCAAGCTTCTGCTTTTCCTTCCTTGTTTCCTTCTGCTTTTTCTGAATTTGTTGTGCAAATTAGCCCAGAATTCAGATGCTTGCTTTTCACTTCAAGTTATTGAATTCTCAAGATTTGATTTGTTTCTAAGTCACAGAGGCCTCTGTTTTTTGTAGAATCACAGCCTATTCTAAGGTATCTCGCTGGTCATGATTAGAGTCTGCCTTTTCCCAGATTTTTTTGTTTCAAGATTTGCTTCTGGCAGCCTCATAGTTCCTCCTTTCTCTTCCTTTCATAAAGAGCTGGTTCCTTCTCTGCCTTAAATGGCTCTTATTAGATTCTTTGTAGAGGAGATTTAGGATTTTATTTTGGTTGGTATTTATTGATGTTATATGTCCCTTAACTAACATTAACTAATGAGAGTTTTTTTGCACTGCATGTTTTGTTAACAAGCTGTTTGCAGTTGTATTTACTGTTGGATGTGAAATGGGTTGTTAATGCAAGTTGCATACTGTAGTATGGATGAGATTATAGTTGATAAATTTTTTAAGAAGAAAAGAAAAAAAAAGAAAACAAAGAAATAACTATTAAATCACTGGAATCACTTGTAACCCAGAGATTGTGCAGTCATTTGTGTGTTTATTAAAGTCAATTAAGCCCAGTTGTCAACAAATCTGCTTTAAGTAGCTTCTGAGAACTGCTAAATCTTCTTATGAATGTAGTCAAATCACTGCATACTAAAAGCCCATAGTTTCTGGTGGTCAGCACTGTTTATGGTATTTAAGAATGAACTAGGACATGAATATTTTCACGTCATCCAGAGCAAATTTGAGCACAAAACCAGTACCAATGTTGCCCAAAAGTGTTCTGCCTACCTGGGGCTTGAGCTCACCTTTCAGCTCCTCTGCTTGTCGTTTCTTTCACCTCAGAGTCTCAGAACATTCTTTTTTCTTATAGCTGTAAAGGGACTTTCATAACTAGAGCACAGAGTCTTTAAGCTGTTGCAGTGATGGTTTAAAATTGATAAATGGAGGACATAACCAGTTTTGACTCCTGTGTTTTTCATGCCTTTTTTGTATGGTTTTGATCTAAAATATGAGTTAGCACACCAAGTAAAGGAAGCATGGCAGGCATGGTACTCTCATTACATCAAGCAATTTAGAGGTAGATGTCAGAAGGAGATAGCTTCTGTGAATAAAATCTATACAACTTGAACCAGAAGTCAGTTTATTTTTTTTCTTTGAAGATGTATAGGATTTACCAGTATGCTGCAAATCAAGATAATGATGGTAACTTTGAGAAACCTGACGTGCAAGCTGGTTTGAGAATGAATAGGGCTTTGTGTATGAGAATTTGTCACATTTTAGTGGTGTTGGAGGGTTTGAAAACTTCAGCAGATACACCCTATGTCACGTGCATACTCCAGTGGCTAAGGGCATGTCAGAGCTACGTGAGAACAGCTTCAGCCTTCTGAAGGCGCGTGTCCTGGACAAACTAAATGTTCAGAGTAGAAAGGGGATGAACCACCTTTTGAAGCAGGGTTTGCTTCCCTTTGCTTCCCTGATTGCTCCTAAAATCCGTGGTGCTGTCGGGAAGAGGGGGCAGTTCAGTGAAGACTTTCCTCCCTGCAGTTTGCTTTAAAGGGCACCCAAGTGTTCAAACCCCCTGCCTGTTTGTTTTCCTGTTGCCTGTAACATTAGAAACAAGCACTTTGTTGTATTTAACATATGGTAGCACTGCCTCGACCGTCATGGCACAGACCAAAGACGACGAAATGGTGAGGCACCACTTCGAATCAAAGCTTAAATGTTCTTGGCAAAACCTTGTCTGGTGGAGGCTCATGGTGAAGTAAAATGATGTGTTTTGGCAATTTATTCAGTTTGCCACGATGCATTTGAAAGTGTCCTTCAAACTGACAACACAGCAATTCCTTATACATTATTTGTGAGCTGAAAGGGCTCGTCTCTGGCAAAAAAAAAAAGGTATGACCCAAATTGGCTTCATCACCATATAAAGGGTAAAATAAGCCAGTAATGAGAAATGTTGTTGAAAAGCAGGTGCATTTACTTCTGAATATGAATCATGTGTTACTCATCGTTTCTGACTGCCTGGTTGAAATGATGGTATTAGGTTGATTAAAAATTCTGAGATATTTGAGAAGGGTAGGATTGGTGCTGGTAATTTACTTAGGTGAAATTAAAATACACATTTAAGGCTTATGCACAAATACATAATTCAACATGCTGCTAAGAAGAATTACCTCTTGCCAGTTGCTTTGCCTGACATAAGGAATCATCTTAACAGTTGTGGGGCTGTCTTTTCTTTTTGAAGGTGAACTGCAAATTGATATTCAGAGATACTGTCGAGTAATTCCTCTCTCCATTCATTCTTTACAATGCTGTTTCTTCAAGTATGTGCTTGATGCTTCTAACTGCATTTTTGTCATTTTCTATTTAGGATCTGATTCTGTCTTCAGATCAATTCTTTGTTTACTTTGTGTTTCGGTGGCCAGGGCTGAAATCTGTGATCTCTGTGATTATTACCATTTGTTATCATATTTAACACAGTTGTGATATTTGTGTTGGAAACTTCTGACGGTGGAATTTTCACTGACACTGCTGTATCATTCCAGCACGTAGGTGCCTGACAGCTGAACTGGAGATAGGCATCCTCAGCTGTATGGAACACTGTTGGCCTGAGCCCAGGTGCATCCTTCACAGGGATCCCTGTTAAAGGTTTCTGAGAGATATTTTGGTGTGCAGAGAGGAATGAGAACACAGTACTCTGTGAGAATTGCTGGCAGCATGAACTCAAATGCCCTGTTTTTTCCATCCATCTCGTATTTTTGACACCCTTAAAACAGAAAAACTCTGATCATTCACTGAGCTGCTTTTCTCTGTCTGTGGATGAGCCACACACAGGTCAGTGGAGTTTTAGTGCTGGTTTTTAGACAGGTTCTCAGTTACCCTGCATTTCTGCAGCATTAACCACTGCCACTCATGAAGTGTTGAGGGTGAGATAGGCAGGGCAATCTGTGATATCAAAGGAAGGAGTAATCATACAATTGAGTGCCCAGAAATTGCAGGCACTCCCTGAACACCTGCCTGCATGTGCTGAAGTTCAGCTTGGGACTAAGAAATAGCTCTCAACATCCGTACAGCTCTGGGATGGCAGCCAGCAGTGGCAGAAGTTTCAGCTGAGGGGGTCAGTCACAGTGTCTGTCTGCACAAATTGTAGTTTTGGGTCATGAGCAGGAAACAGCAGAAGGGTTTGAAGGGGTGGGTTCCCAACAAGGGGCAAGGAAAGGAAAGTGCAGGGTTTTTTTCCAAAGGCTGCAGGAGGCCTTTTGGCAGTGGTGGGGCATTGCCTGCAAAAGGGATTAAACACACCTTTTCTCCCCTGGCTCGTGGCAGCTGCTGTCTGAACTGGTACACAATGAATGGGAAATATGTTTCTGGTAGATTAGAAGGGTGTTGTGTGGGCTGGAGCTCAGGGAGGTGGATATTTTTGTGGTAGCGATAGATGTGTATTTACTGTCTTTGCAAAGCAGTGGAAAAGCTTTCTCATGGAATGATAGAGAGATGACAAAGAATAACCTCCTGATTATAAACAGTCAGAAGCAAGGGTAAGGCATG